GTGTCCCCCCCTAGAACAGAATATTCCAGCTGCTTATATATGGTTCTTGTTGTTGAAACAGAAGACAGAACATATGGTTCTTTTTAAAATGATCTCATCTATTTAGAACTAAGAGAAGAATGGAGGAAGTGAGAGACCTACTCCCTATGGGCCTTTGGACCAGGGGGCCCCTTAATTTAAACATTCCAATCCCCTGCAAAAACAGAGCACACAGAGCTTCAGACCTCAACTTATACTGGCAACTTATAAGAGTGTTTTTGCCTTCTTCTATAAAGTTACTCTTTTTAAATACACCTCAAATGTTATCAACGCTCAAACACTGATTTACCTTAAACAGAGCTAAGATGCTGTATGTGTGTAGCTCTGTTTACTGCTGCTGCAGCTGCTCACGTTCAAGCAGTCTGTGTCTTTGTACAACATGCCAGTGATTTCTGTAATATTTATGTTTTAAAATGAAAGCAGAACTTTTTTGTAGTATACATTTAATAGTCCTTGTTTATATTTAGCTAACTGACTAACTTACACTATCTGTAAGTGCTAACAGTTGCTTTATTCCCAAGCAGGGTAATGTTAGCTGGCTTTCATTAGCTTCTGGCTAACATGGAGCAGCAGTCTGTGTGGCCATAGCTTTACAAAAGGAAACCAAATTTTTATATGTAAAGTCTATTTGACAGACTTTGTTTGAGCTCTCTTGTAGCTAAAAATGGTAGGCTAGTAGGCTACAAACACTAATTAGATAGCCTACCATTAGCAGACCACTTCCTATTCCCCCCGTTATGTCAAAAACAGGACTGCTAAACAGCAGAGGGCGCTTGTGAGTGAGTCCTCAATGAATGGGAGTAAATGGCGCTCAACGGCTAAAAACGAAAAGTTTAAATAGTTTCTAATCACTCGCCCAGAATGTTTCTTTAATTTTAGAAAGTAGAAGGATGTATTTCACTAAAAAACAAAGAAATCTTACCTATATATTCCCTTTTTTCTACAGCAAACGGGTTTTGGGCAGCAGAAGGCGGGCTTTACCGCTAGAGCGTGATGATTGATTTGCGAGCGGAGCAGCTCATTGGCTGTTCGCGCTCACTGACGTCATGAACATACATGGGGTGCAGTTTTAAACTCTTATAGCTCGAGTTTAAAAGCTCGTAAAAATATAACAGCGGTGTTAAAATGTTTTATGCTGTTCTGTGTTCAGGCAGTGATCGCATTCTTTTACATTAAAAATGTTTAAGCATTTATAAACCATGATTTTGCTCAAATTCTCCATATCAACCCATTCATTTTGGACTCACTCGGGAGCGCCCTCTAGCGTTTGAGAAAACCGGAAGACATTGCAGAGTGGTAATTCTCCTCTCTACAATTTCTATGACACCGGCTTCATATGAGTAGCAAAAATTAGCAGGCTGGCTATGCTAGCTACTGCCACACAGCATCAGTTTCACTGCAATTTTTGAACTGTCACTTCAGTAATAGCCACCTTTTACTGCTCACTGGAAAACTTAACTCTTAGCTTCTATCTTATCATTGTGGTTATGTGGTTATTTGACATAAATTTGTGGTGTGGGAGAGCCATGTAATGTCTGACAAAACTTGCCAGGTATGTTAGTTGTTCATACCAAGCTGAAGTATGAAAATTTATATTGTTGACAGTTTATTGCCTGCAGCTTTTTAAAAACATGAGTGCAAAAATTGCTGGTAAGTGTTATGTATAAAGCTCCTGTATGTTAGCCAGAAAACAGTTTGGGATAACAGCCACTGTTAGCAATGGCTTCTAGCATAGCTAGCTAAATATAAATGAAGCCTATCAAATTCACACTGCATGTACAAGATCTGCTTTCATTTTAAAACATAAATATTACAGAAATCGCTAGCATGTTGTACAAAGAAACAGACTGCTTGGTGTGAGCAGCTGCAGTCAACAGGGCTACACCACACATACAGAATTTTAGCTCTGTTTAAATGCTTTTATATTAGTCTGTGACTACACCACCGCAAACCTTAACCAGACAAAAAACACACTATTTATGAAGTTGGTAGGTCTTAGATGTTAATAATTTTTCAGGATTTCTGTAAGAGGATTTGGCTATTTAACGTTAATATAACCTGGAATCTTTTTGGGACAGAGAAAAAATCTGTAATCTTTGAAATTATGTGCCTGGTTCTGCCTATTTCACAGCCACACTCTCCTCCTCACAATTCAGACACGGGTTGTCGTGGAATACATTCCATCACCTTATGCAGTTGCTCTGAAACAGAGAGGGGGTAACAACTTATTTTCTTAACTAAAACTGGGCTGTCAGCTAGCTAACAGGGTAAAAGATAGCAAACAGCCTAAACAACTCCACAATTATTATCACAGGCTTGAATTAAAGTTTTTATGATATGATTTGCTCTAAAACTGCAATATAAAGAATGTCACCTGAATCAGTTAGAAGAATGTCACCAGAATCAGTTTCAGTTAGAAGCCCCAATCTCAGGTTGAATCCCAAACACTTTACATACTCCCTGAATAGTGTGCAAGCTATGGAGCTTTTGAGCTTCTACAGCCAAGTAGTGCGCTATTTGTGGAGTATGGATGTGGCTGAATCACGAATGATTTTTATGACTACTTTTGATGCCTAATTTTTAGCTACATTATGCACTTTTGGGGTACACAAGCCAGTATTTAAATTCTTACATAGGGCACCAAGTAGGGAGCAGTGCGCCATTGGAGATTCAGCCATAGCACAAGGAGAGGGGTGCTGATAAACTGGTGCTATATAAGACTCGTGGTGCTAATTTGGTGACCAAAAAGTACTTATGAAGTGAAAGTTTATGTATTAAACAGTGCTGTGTTATCATATGTTCATTGTTACACGACAAAAAGTTAAAAAGTTAATGACTACAGTATACAGTGATGGGAGACTTAACGTTCTCTGCCGTCAGCGGTCCATGGTTGCAACAAAACCATACTCTAAAAGAGCTACATTGCATGGCAGAATACTTGCTTATGTCAATTATTATTAATAATAAATTATTTTATAAAAAAATGTGTTTTATCATATTTTATGTTGCCCGCTAGTTTTATAAAAGCAATAAGCCACTTGAGGCCGCGTGTTACTGCAATTTTATCCTTCCTGTGATATAATCGCAGCAAAACATGCCCCTCCTGACTGCTTTAGTATAACATCCTATTGTCTATAAATATAGACATTCTGTAATAAAGACATCTATTTGGAAGTAAAGTCATAGGAAATACACTGCACAACATGAACAACACTCAGATTTATATTTGATTTATTTCATTTAAGGCATCGAGCGCTGCTTCTGTTCCAGCTCTCTTAATAACGGTTCAACATAAAGACACGCTAAAATAAAAAGTCAAAGAAGAGGACAGACAGTGCAAGGAACGCCTTTAAACAGCAGTAAAGGAGCGGTAATGGTCTATAAAAGCCTGTATGACTTTCCGCTGAAACCAAACCTGACATGCATCTATATATTAAACAACTGCAGTTTCAGTGATAAATCCAGCAATCAGGAATAAACTTAAGCACAGCTGAACTGCTGTAGTCCCACTAATTTATCATTTCATTTCCACAACCAATTGATCAATAGGAGATTGCACTAGCAAGACAATTTTTTTTGTCTTCAGTGCGAATCCCCCATAGCTTCTCTATAAAAATGCTATGATCTTAAAGTGCTAGTTCAGCCAAAAATCAAATGTACCCTAATCCCAAATGTAGTTGCATGCTTTGTTTGAAGTTTGCTTAGTTTTACATTAGTCCTACAAGGCTAATGTAGCTAAAGCTAACATAACAGAAATTTAGGATCCTCCGTTAGCAATGAGTTCTCTCAACTTTGAGGCAGGTTGTTAACATGATGCTAATTACTCGGGGGTCTTTTTGAGATCATTTAACAACTTCACACAGTTAGAGGCCAGAGTTTTGATTTAGGCATGCAGTTAGCACTATGCTAAATGAAGTTAATTAGCTTATGTAACCCGTTAGCTACATTAGCTTCGAAGCTCTAGTGTAAAACTAAATAAGCAAACCTGACACCAACCATGTCTCAGCTGATCAACTACATTTGGGGTGGGGGGGACTGTGAGTTTACATTTTTCAACAAACTATCGCTTTAATCACACCCATTTGGACATGAATTCACTGAACTGATAAAGCTCTGTTCCTTTGACAATAAGGTGAAAATAAAGTCAGACCAATAACAGACATAACTGAAATAACAAAGATAAGAATAAATGGTTACCACATCCAGCTAAACTATGGAAGAATATAGTTTTGTCAGCAGACTCATAAACTATAGCATTTCATTTCTCAATAAAACAATATATATTTAAAATATAAAGCATCAAAGGTGGAGTAGTACAGCAAGTAGTTTTAGCTTTTTAAACCAACTTCTGAATCAGTAACAGTAACAGAACAGTAAAAGTGTTGATTAAAAAAAGAAATTTTACATTTACAAATTTCAGAAATTCCATTTGAGAATTTGGTTTATTTTGAATATTTTTTTTACAATTCAGATTTCACTAGTAAGAATTCAAACTTATAATAATGTAATAATTTCAACATTATTAGATTCAAATTTTCTTTAGATTAAAAAATAATTTTCGATTTAAATGTTACATGTTAACTAATAAAAGTAGAATTTTGGCATCGGTCTTTTTTTACCAGCATTTTTGTGATATCAATAAACGGTGTATTAAAAGCTCAAACTGTGCCATAGAGTAAATCCATAGCCATTTGAATTTTGCATTTTTTAGAAAATATGACCAAATATTAAACTGTGATTGAAACCATTAGAACCTGCAAAAGAGAAAATACATCTATATCTACGCTGCATTATATAGAGAGCTATGCAGAACACACAGTTAAAAAAATTTAAATATTTTTACAAAAGTAAATACATAACTGATCATTTCAAATAAGCACATTAACAGCTATGTACAGTAGAGGATTTAGCAACAAGTTTTTACTGCTCTGGACAGATCAGCATGCACTTTAACTCAAAACTTTAATAGAAAGACTTTAATGAGGTAGCCTACAGTCAGAAAAGAAATTTCATGATTGTCATTCAATTACACACCAACAACATGCAAACAGTCCAACAATTAAAACATTTCCCCAAACTATCAAAGCACACATGCATAGCACAAACCACACATGCTTAGAGAAACAGTTTTTATAACGTCTTTAGCCATTTGTTAACAGTATGTTTACGTGTTTATTTAGCTTTTAGAAGAAATATTGCATACAATGCATATACTAAAGCTATGATAAAAAAAAGAAACAATTTAAAATAATAAACAATAAAATGTGTAGAAATGTACAAATTAACATGGCATAAAACTTCATTAGTGTGTACTGCTGACTATAAAATTGTAGATAACAAATAAATAAATAAATAAATAAGGCTGACTGTTGATATTTAAAGTGACAGTTTTGCTAAATAACAAATTTATAGTAGTCGTCCCCGAATACCACAAATGTACTTGATCAGCCTAGAAATGTTTGGTGTCTCACGTCTGCTTCTTTAGTTTTAGCACTGGCGATACAAGAACAAAACTATGCTGCATATCTAATACTGCTAATGCTATACATGAGTGGCATCCATCTTTAAGTCTGAATTTTGTCCTTAATTTAGTCCATGTTTATAGACAACAGTGTCATACAGTGACATCACCACATATGCAACTGTTAGAGATGCTTAATAACACACAGTTTGAGGCAAGCGTGTGATGATTTAGACATGCAGTTAGCACCATGCTAATTGGTAAGTAGCTTTTATCACTTGCTGGGCATCTTAAAGAAACAGTTAAAGAAAAAAAAAATCAAATTTACCCAATTTTTCCACTTACCCCAAATGGAGTAAATCAGCCAAGACGTAGTCCAAAGTGCTTCTTTTGTTCAAAAGAGAGAGCTTGTTCATAGTTTTGTTTTGTAGCTCACAGTAAGTCAAACTGTGCTCTAAACCACACTGACAAGTCTGCATGGCCTTAATGGAGACCTGAGTGGGCTGAAGTTCTGGTGATGTAATCTTACAGAAGTGAATTGTGCTATTTGGGTGACTGTTGAGTTCTAGTGTGTGCTCTAGTGTTAGCTCTAGTTCTAAAATAAAGAAGCAAAATTTAAACTCCAAACATGTCTTTGTTGATCGACTACATCTGGGTGGAAAGTGGAAAATAGAAAATTGTGTGAACTTGATTTTCAAACTTGATTCTTTTACTCATTTTGCTATTTCAATACATTTTTAAAAACACATTTTTAATCAATAGCATCCAACTAACTCAACGAGGAAGTACTTGGACCATTCAGCCTTCATTTATTGCATGCAGCTGACATAAGTGGTAAGCCATACCTGATGGTTGGGGCGATTTAATTTTGTGTTTTAGATTAATTTTGTGATTAATCTACGAGAGAAAATGCTCAGATAGCATTACAGAAGGAAAATATGTTCAGTTTCCCCATTCATCATGACTAACATCAGCTGCTTGTGTCACCACATTCTCTATGGTTAAACTACTTAATTCTCAGACTGGTCCTAAGGGATGGTCCCCCAGATGGCCTGCATTTTTGCTTCATTAACTCCCACATATAATTATAACAAAAATGTGGACTGTCTGAGGGCCTCTGAGGACCAGTTTGAGAACCACTGCTTTATACAAGTTAGCTCAGCCCACAAAGCAACTGGTTAAAAAGCATTCTACCCATGTTGTTAAATCTTCAGTGTTTTCACACTAAGAACCTGGTACATGACTGTCTTACCTTTACAGGTTATGTTTGGGCTTTGCATCATTCTAACAAGCAACCCTTAAACAGGATTTTACAGTTCACATTGGCATGCATGACTTTAACAAGACGTGACATCATGATTGGTCTAAAGCAAACTTCAGACACAAAGCATGTTTTAACTGATCTTACATTAGGGGTAAGAAGGGAACACTGAGTAAATTTGATTCATCACTGAACTGTCGCTTCAAAAGCCGCCTCTCACTCAGTCAGGCCGGTTCCGTCTGCGTAACCCCGCCCCCAACTCTTCTGGAGCTGTTGGAGTCGTGCCTACTTCCTCCAGCTCCTCCAGAGACGGCATGCTGGAGTCACTCTCACATGCATCTGCTTCTTCATCCCTCTCTTCATCTTCCTCTTTCGTTTCTCTTTCTTCATCCTCCTCTTTATCTTTCTTTCCACTTTCCTCTTCCTCCTCCTCTCTCTCCATCTGGGTGTGAAGTGTGTGAGGTGTGTAAAGGTGTGTTTTTCCACTGCGGTGCATTTGTGCTTTCGTATCCCCCAGTGTTTCCATCGCGGTCAGTGACTCAATAAGGTTGTCAAGGTTACGTTCACACGATGCATCTGCCAAAACAAAACCAGGAAGTGGCATCAACCAATCAGAATTGCTTGACCCTCTTAACACTTAAAAACAAAATCCACTCACACTTACTCATATGTCCCTTAGCAACGAAAAACATCTGCAGCAAAAGTATCACTTATTACAAGTGCATGAACAGCCATACAATTATAGAGATCCCATCGTTATTTAATTTAAAGCTGTTATAGTTACTATTGCTGGCTTATTATGAATATTTTAAGCAACCTTTGAATAAAATTCAAATCATGAATTTTAATGTATGAATCAGCAGCAATTAGTTTATTGCAGTGGTTCTCAATCCGGTCCACAGGGACACACAGATGTGTTGCGAGTTAGGTTGGAGCAAAAGTGTGGACTGTCTGGGGGTCCTGAAGAACCACGACTGTGTTAACATGATGATACTGCATATTTTAAATTCTCCTACTGATCTCTCTTACAGTAAGAAACAAAGCCTGATAGAAACACATTTACATACATTTCTTTCTCATAACATATTTCCATACATCCACCCATTCAGCCTTTGGCAGTTTGACATAACCATTCAGCCTACAGCTCCTTGGCCCCTCCCATTCAGCCTTAAGCAGTTTACTCCTGCCTTTTTACACTTGTAAGGATGTAGCGGGTGAAATATTGGTTCATCCGGTATACCATAAAAATAAATTCTTCCTCAGGTATGAGCTTCCTCAGAACCATTATTCTGCTATCCTGCAAACAATGGCAAATAAGGCAACATTTCAACAGTGCAAACCACAGTACATGTTATCCAAGTGGCTAAACAGCTATGCAAATGTTTCAGTCACATTTCAAATGAAAATGAACACAACAGACCCGTAATCACCTTATGCTGCCTCATCTATTGAATCTGTAGTAGTCCACCTTGTTTTCAAGGCAGCGGACGTAAAGAAAGCTGGTCTTTTGAGATTGGCTTTAGCCAAACATTCTACCTTTCCGTTTACTCTCATACCCCCTAAAAAAAGCCACCTGATTCAATCAGCTGCATCAGACAACATTCTCGAGTTGGTGCGTGCAACAAGCTGTGTACCAGCTTGCTGATACACACTTGTGAAAGACTAATATTTTCCTAATTACAGCAATGTTTGAGGGTCAGAGGCATAGTATATGGGAGAGTATATGGAAAGCACAAATGAGACAAATGACTTGAGAAATTCAACGAAGCTGAAGTGTATTTAAATTTCCCATTCCACCTGAAATGTTGCAGCAATTACATTCAGACACCCACACATGTCCCAGAATGTAAATGTTGCTCCATTTAAGGTGGAATGGAAATAAGAAGCTAAGAGATGGCTGTTAAATATGGTTCATATTTGAAAATGGTTGCATGTACTCAGTTGGGCAAGACTGAGCTAAGCTCTTCATCATGGCTCTTCATCATGGGGAGACAGCAAATGCAAGTGGACCTGTGCACCAACTTATTTGGACATTTTCTTAATGCTTTCACTCTGCACGAGTATGTGTGTACCTGCTGTGTTGATGGGTGGACACTGCATGCCTCTTTTCTTCATCAGGTCTCGGATACACTGCAGCTGGGACATTATCTCATTCTTCTGCTCCATAGCAACAGATTTCACACTGTCACAAACAGAAAAAAACTTCAGCAACAAACATTCTCATTCCAAAACATACTCAATTTACACTTAACACTGCAATTTTTAAGGGCCCATTTCATTAAAAATGAATTTTCATTTGAGCCCCACCCATTCAGCCTATAGTAGTGTAGATCCTCCCAGTCAGCCTGCAGCAGTTTAGTCCTAACCAGTCAGCCTACAGCAGTTTAGTCCTAACCAGTCAGCCTGCAGCAGTTTAGTCCTAACCAGTCAGCCTGCAGCAGTTTAGCCCTAACCAGTCAGCCTGCAGCAGTTTAGCCCTAACCAGTCAGCCTGCAGCAGTTTAGTCCTAACCAGTCAGCCTACAGCAGTTTAGCTCTAACCAGTCAGCCTGCAGCAGTTTAGCTCTAACCAGTCAGCCTACAGCAGTTTAGTCCTAACCAGTCAGCCTGCAGCAGTTTAGCTCTAACCAGTCAGCCTGCAGCAGTTTAGCTCTAACCAGTCAGCCTACAGCAGTTTAGCTCTAACTAGTCAGCCTGCAGCAGTTTAGTCCTAACCAGTCAGCCTGCAGCAGTTTAGTCCTAACCAGTCAGCCTGCAGCAGTTTAGCTCTAACCAGTCAGCCTGCAGCAGTTTAGCTCTAACCAGTCAGCCTGTAGCAGTTTAGCCCTAACCAGTCAGCCTACAGCAGTTTAGCCCTAACCAGTCAGCCTACAGCGGTTTAGTCCTAACCAGTCAGCCTGCAGCAGTTTAGCTCTAACCATTCAGCCTACAGCAGTTTAGTCCTAACCAGTCAGCCTGCAGCAGTTTAGCTCTAACTAGTCAGCCTGCAGCAGTTTAGTCCTAACCAGTCAGCCTACAGCAGTTTAGTCCTAACCAGTCAGCCTACAGCAGTTTAGCCCCAACTATTCAGTCTATAGCAGGTTAGCCCTAACTATTCAGTCTATAGCAGTTTAGCCCAAGTATTCATTCTATAGCAGGTTAGCCCTAACCATTCAGCCTGCAGCAGTTTAGTCCTAACCAGTCAGCCTGCAGCAGTTTAGTCCTAACCATTCAGCCTGCAGCAGTTTAGTCCTAACCAGTCAGCCTGCAGCAGTTTAGCTCTAACCAGTCAGACTGCAGCAGTTTAGTCCTAACCAGTCATCCTGCAGCAGTTTAGCTCTAACCAGTCAGACTACAGCAGTTTAGCCCTAACCAGTCAGCCTGCAGCAGTTTAGCTCTAACCAGTCAGACTACAGCAGTTTAGCCCTAACCAGTCAGCCTGCAGCAGTTTAGCCCTAACCAGTCAGCCTACAGCAGTTTAGCCCTAACCAGTCAGCCTGCAGCAGTTTAGCTCTAACCAGTCAGACTACAGCAGTTTAGCCCTAACCAGTCAGCCTGCAGCAGTTTAGCCCTAACCAGTCAGCCTACAGCAGTTTAGTCCTAACCAGTCAGACTGCAGCAGTTTAGCTCTAACCAGTCAGCCTACAGCAGTTTAGCCCTAACCAGTCAGCCTGCAGCAGTTTAGCTCTAACCAGTCAGCCTGCAGCAGTTTAGCCCTAACCAGTCAGACTACAGCACTTTAGCTCTAACCAGTCAGCCTGCAGCAGTTTAGCTCTAACCAGTCAGCCTGCAGCAGTTTAGCCCTAACCAGTCAGCCTGCAGCAGTTTAGCCCTAACTATTCAGTCTATAGCAGGTTAGCCCTAACTATTCAGCCTATAGAAGTTTAGCCCAAGTATTTAGTCTATAGCAGGTTAGCCCTAACTATTCAGCCTATAGAAGTTTAGCCCAAGTATTTAGTCTATAGCAGGTTAGCCCTAACGATTCAGCCTGCAGCAGTTTAGCCCTAACCATTCAGTCTATAGCAGGTTATTCCTAACTATTTAGTTTACAGTAGGTTAGCCCTAATCATTCAGCCTGCAGCAGTTTAGCCCCAACTATTGAGCCTATAGCAGGTTAGCCCTAACCATTCAGCCTGCAGCAGTTCAGCCGAACTATTCAGTCTATAGCAGGTTAGACCTAATCATTCAGCCTGCAGCAGTTTTGCACTAACCATTCAGCCTATAGCCATTCATGCCCACCCATTCAGCCCCACCCCTTCCAGCCTCCAGCTGTTCAGCCCTGCTATATCCAACCTGTTTCAGCCCAGAGTGCTTTTTGAATGAGGCAGCCAATCAGAACAGAGTTCATTTACATACATCAGCTATAAAGGCACACTAACAAATACGCAGCCTGTTTAAGGGACAAAGAGACATGGTCATGTAAAAAATACATAAGGAACACAAGAAGAGCTAATCTCAGAGAAAACATCCAACACAAGAAAAATTATAGAATACAGGATGTACAATTTAGAAAATGCTGAGGAAACTAATATGACAAACAACGGGCAATTAGAGCTGGGACCACTTACCAATTTATTGTTAATTACTGTTAACAACCCTGAAATCAAAAGACAATGTACAATTTTGTTTCTTCCCATTTTGTATAATTATGTGTTTTGTGCTCTGATCCTCTATCCCCAGCCTTGGTTCTACTTCAGTATTTACTGTTCATTATATATTTATATATCTTTCCAAAATGTAACACACTATTAATTTTTTCCATAGAACTCAGATTCAATGCAAAAAAGCCTTGAGACTTTGTCACTTCTCTAGCACAAATGGGAACCGTCTCAGACTTTCAGATAACTGGATATTTTATTGTAAAATACCTGTGAAAATGTGTCCAGACTTATTGATTTCATAATTCCTTATCATCCCAACCCTATTAGTAATAAAACTGAATCTTGAATATTGCTCTTCCTTCACTTGGTCCCTCCCACCAGATCAGCTGTGTGAAGATCAGATGGGGTTGCCGTGTGTTTGTGTGTGATCTCACCAGTTGGTCAGTGGGTCCAGTTGGGCCAGTATGGAATTGAGCATCTTCTCTGTCTGAGCCAAACGCTGCTCCAACTCGTTCAGTTGATTCTCTAAAACACACACAGACACATACATACATACATACAAACATAAACACACACACACACACGTTTGCTTTGATTTTTAACATTTCTGTATTAAAATATTCTTGACTTTAATTCTATTCTTCACAGATTGCTTTGTATGATGTGTCTCAGGTGAGGGTTAATCAAGGTGCCATGGTAACAGTCCCCATGATGGTAAAAACCTCATTTATTGACAGTTAAAAAAGGAACATTTCTTTATTGATTTATTTTGTCCAAACGATAGCAGGACATGCTGAATGTGGTTTGGCACTGTCTTGCTGAAATAATCAAGGCCATTCCTGAAAAAGATGTCATCTGGATGGCAGCATACGTTGCTCCAAAACCTGTATGTATTGTTCAGCCATCCCAGATGTGCAAGGCAACCATTTGCACTAATGCAACCCCATACCATCACAGACAAACATGAGTAAAAACATATCTCAGCTGTCATTAATTATGGTGAAACAGAATGTTTTAAATGTCCTTATATGAAATGGCTTCAGAGAAGAAAGCAAAGGGCTAAGCTAAGCTGCAATAAACTCTCTGATATTAATATACTAGAACCACAACTTTTACTGAACTGCGCTTTATTACAATCTCAGATTTGACAGACATTAAGACTCAGCTCACACGGTACCACTGTCTTTTCTCCTGTGTCCGCTTCAGTATGTGGGACTGTTGGAAAATTACAGGACAAAACAGTAAAGCGAAACAAACAAAAACAAAAACACAAACAAAAAAAAACACCCCATGTGCAACCCAGTTTCACTGCTTACCATGGTCATTTTCGACATGGTTAGCCAAATACAAGGGCTCTTTTACCAGCACAGGCCTAGATCAGATAAATAAAAGTTCTCTAATAAAACTCAGCACCTTCCATGCTGCACTCTAAATAATAAAACCCCAAAAATCACGACATTTCGAATTTATAAGCATTTCAGATAAAATGCACTGCAAATTCAGTGCGCGTGAGTGTCTATAGCATAAACCCCACCCCCTCCCACCCACTTTACTCCGTTAGGCTGCATCCAGATGCCTAGTTCTGATCACTGACAATGGTTTTAATGAAAGATGGTAAACGAGAGACGCTCTGAAGAGAGTGAGGGGCGTATACAATACTATACTGAAATCGGTATAGCTTTAATTATTAGCCCTGCTTAGTTAGTACTACTGCTCTAGCAAGAAAGCAATCTTACTAACATTCTATCAGTATAATAGTATAATCAGTATAACACAGTGAATACAGAGAAATAATAACAGTCGGAACAACCGAGTGCTGACTAGACAATAGAGAGAGAGAGACTAAACTGCATTAAACTCTACAATACACACACACACACCTGTCTCTTCAGACTTCTTGATTCCTCGAGCTGTTTTCTCCTTCTGAATCCGAGTGTCCTCTGCAGATTTTATCTGTTCACAACAGAATGAAAGAAAAATCAGCACTAATGTAGCTAACAGGTAATGGAAGCTCATACCCCACCAATTAACATCCCAGATAGCAAAAGGATAGTGAACCACTAATTAGGGGTGGGGGGAAAAAATCGATTCTTAGACACATCGCGATGCGGACGTGGGCGATTCTGAATCGATTCACTAATGTCAAAATTCGATTTTCTAATTTTAATTAATAACATAATGCTGACGGAATGCAAAAGTCGGAACTGCGGGAGTGCAGCACATAACAAAAACATGAATGGATGAGAGAGAAATCTGACGTGTGCCCTCTGCATTAGAAGCTATAGCAGGAGTGGGAAACCCAAATATTAAGAAGAGCCATTTGTCCTTTCTGCAAACATCAAACCACATTGGGAGCCACAACATTTCATGTCCCTTTTACCATTGTGGCTGTAAATATATCTCAGTATGTGTTGATGTGCTAGTATAGACTAAAAATCTAACGTTAATGTTAAACGAAACCGCAGACTTATAGACGCTATTCTCGCATCCCCAGCAGGAAACGTTTCGTCAAAAGTAGAATAGTTTCTTGTAAAATGTCTCTCAACATTCAATTTTTTACGAGGCTGAAGTTGCTTCTCATTTGCCAGCCTCTTGTTCGAATTTTCCCGTTTCACCTTAAATGGTGCCTGAGACGCCTGAATGTAACTGCTGCACCATTTAAGGTGGAACGGGACAATTCGAGCAAGCGACTAGCATTTGACAATTTCTCATTGCAGACTAAACGTACCAGGAAACCAGCTGAGTGCTTATAAAGGCTAATACGACCATTCGTCTCCAAATTATCGATGTTCACCTTAAATCGTCAACTTTGTCTTGTCGCTAACTACTAGCTAGGTATGTTTCCAACCCCTGAGCTGGCGTATGGAAGGACTTTGGTTTCTATGAAGTTGAAGGGAAAAGGGACCTGGACAGGAACCACACTATATACAAGTTGTGTCACACTAAAATATTTTGGAAACGACAAATATGAGAAACCATATTACATGTTTCCACCCGTTTTCTGTCTGGTCTAGTTGCTGTCAACCAGCAGACCATTGAGCAAGCGATGTCAAAGCTCTCACCCAACTCAGAAAGGGCGAAGCGAATTACAAACTCTATCGCAACTTTTATTGCCAGGGATTTGCATCCGTTCTCAGTCGCTGAGAACCAGGGCTTTCGCGCCATGTTGCACACTTTGGAGCCGAGATACAGCGTCCAGTCTCGAAAATATTTTACTGACACAGTGACCCCCCCGACTCTCTACAACGAGACCAAAACAAAGTTATGAAATCACTGAAGAAAACGGGTAGAACAGCTGTAATCTGCTGCGTGGTCACCCATTGCCACAGGATCTTATTTCACCATAATTTTCATTTTATCACAGATGAGAGGCAGTCTGCATCTCATGTGCTCCAAACAAGAGCAGTGAATGAGAGCCTTCCAGTTCACTTGCCACATCACTTCCGTTTGATTTATTAATAAAAGATATTGAAAGTAAATTCATTATAGATCATTACAAATACTTTGCTTTGAAAGTACTTCTGTGTGACAAAATTCTGTATAGAAAAAAAAGATGCATCAAGATGCATCGATATTCGTTTTATAATTGCATCGCAGCCCTCTGAATCGTAATCGAATCGAATCATGAAGTGCCTAGAGATTCCCACCCCTACCACTGATGGCCCACTGATGGCAAAGCTGGCCACCCACTGACTTTTTGCTCAGCATTTTCCAGGTGACCCAATGGTGGTTAAGCAGTGCGTTAGACTAAACACCATTTTTAGTCGTATTTTCCACTTAAAGTCCATTTTATATATTTGTTCTTCATTTCTTTCTTTCTTTATCACTTGTAAATTAGTTTAGGAAATAATCTTGCAGCAACATCATAAATAAAGCTGCTTATATAGCTGTAAACAATCCAGCAACAATATTTTCAACAAAATAATTTTATATTTGGCATAGTCATCTTTTTTTCCTCTCAGTAGCTTGTAATATTTGTCTTTGTTTATTTTCCAAAATAAAAGGCTATTTGCATTTAAATTCTGTTTGAGGAGATTGAAAACTAGTTAGAGCTTGTACAAAGAACAATAATCTGGATGATGTGAGGGTGGACCAAGCCAGCAGACCAATGTGTACTTACTATCTGGGATAGTGCTAACTGAGTGCCTAATCACCACACACTTGTCTTAAACTGTGCTGAGTTCAGTAATCTCAAAGAGACTTGCTTATGCGGTTTCTGACACCGCATGACATACTGTTATCTATGGACAACAGTACATTAGCATAGCTAAAAACAGTAGCAGCCATATTGAAGCCTGAATTTTGTCCATTGGTGACTCGGTTTGAGCAAAATTAAAGAAGCAAATATCAGACACCAAACATAATGGATAATCAACTATATTCAGAATAAAAGACGAAAGGATAAAAAGTAGTAACAATACAACATAGTGCATCGAATCAAATCATGTGGTACCATATCTCTGCATCTTGTCTAGTGTGTTAGGCTAGGGCTACCATATTAACTTGGAGTGCATTAGCTAAGAGCAACATATAAGCTTATGAGCTAGACTGGGGTTAACATATTAGCCTCTGACTAACACATTAAGTTAGAACTAACATTTTAGTTTGTGACTTAGATTGGGGCTATTTAGTCATCCCAGCACATCATGGATCGGCTTCTGTGTAGTGTTAGTATTTCAGGTAAGAAACCTGAACGGATCAGATTAAACTTTGCTGTAACTTCACTGTAAGTCCCTAAGAATGTACTTCTATAATATTGGAATTTCTAGGAAACTGAAAACAAAAACATTAACATAAGGCAGATTTTGGAACTCGTTACTTTGCTGTACTAAAAAACGAGAGACGCTGTCATATCATATAAAACCAAATTATTAGTTTTGTGAGTAACTGCAAGGGGGAAAATGGCTAATTAAGAATTTCACTAAATTAATCACTTTACAAATGACAGGATAATTGTTTAAAACAAAACAAACAGAAACAAGCCCTTACCTTGAGGAATTTGTAAGCAGCAAATATACCCACCCCGATTGCGTAGAGGGGCATTAAGGTAAAAACGTATCCTTTGTTGTTGGATTTATATTTATCACCACGCAGTTCTTGCTCCATCAGCTTCTTCATCTGCTGCATGTTCTCTGCACTGCTGAATGCCTGCTGTGGCTGGGGGCCCTTCAGAGCCCCGGGGGCCAAAGGGGGACCTGCAGCACCGAAAGTTCTGTGAGATGAATTCAGTTTCCAACTTTGCATGCAGAACTTGCCAATACCGATCCAATCGTGGATATTAAAGGAATATTCCAGCGTGTTTTAACTCCACCTCCATCTGCTGTCTCTGTAGTGTACGGGGAATTAAGTACCCTGGCTCAAACAGGATACTAGCACACTATATAGTGTCTGAAAATAGTACATATAGTATTAGAAGTGCACTCACTAGTGAATTAGGTAGAATACAGAAGTGTGTAATTTGGAACGCGTTCAACAGCTGCTTTGCTGTGCTGTGGTGTTTATTAATTAGGGATGCATTTATAGAGCTAAATTAATGCATTCACTGAGGTACACTGATGTTGGAGTTGTAATTGCCAACTTTCGTAATTTGTTCTGTGTTTAAGGCACCTCAGTGTAACTGCAGCACCATTTAATGTGGAATGGAAAATTTAAATGAGAAGCTGGCGAATAAGAAGTTGACTTCACCTTTACATATGGTTATGAGTTTATTAAACTATTTTAGAGTTTTGGCAGCTTTGGTAGCCACTTTTAATCTCAGTCTATGAGATTTGTAAAATCTCATAGACTGGAATTTCCTGAACTCTGGAGATGTGTATCCAGTCCACCAATCTAGCTAATCTTCTCCTTGTTGTGTTTTCTGGAGACTGCATCTAAAGTGTCCACATATCATGGTCATTCACATCTATTTTGCAATTCTGCTTTTGGTCTTCATGCACCTGCAGGGTTGTAACTGTGGTAACAGTGACGAGACGAGCTCTATCAGAGCACAGTCAGAGTTACAGCTTACCTACCGACATCGCACCGAGTTCCTCCTCATGACACAATCGAATACTATGAATACAGCTAATAAACAACACTGTTTACATATGAGCGCTGGTTCGCCCAGAGCTTCTTCACAAACAAACCTTGCTCACTGTAATAGGCCCTATCTTTAAAGGTGAATTCCACTTATTTTCCAAAATGTTCCCCTAACTGAGATGCACCCAACACAAAGTCATTCAGAGTGGTTTGATGTGAAGTAGTTCTCTGTAGAGACCCTTACTGACTTTGTCTTAGTGGTGATAAGAAAAAGAAGTCACGATATATATGTTACAAATATCATTTTATTTATTTACTATCCAAAACCACCAGTGAACCTTCACGTGTCTGAGTATTTATATGTAATGTTAGCAGTAGTAAAATTGTGGTAAATCAGAAAAAAAACGTTTTCTTTTAGGGATTTTGCCTTTGCCTCATACATATCCTGCCATCATGTATGTATGTTAAAAATAAATTTTAGCTCTAAATCTTCTCAAAGCTATCATAAAACAAACTCTCAGGAATCAGGCAGCCTATTCGTTTCATGTAATAACTTTTTGTGAGGGAGCTTTTAGAGGCATTACTCTTCAGACGTCTGGTTCCGATCACCACCACTGTGAACAATTCGGACTCTTTTTTTATATAGTTTTTATAAAATTGAGCATTTCACATCAAACCAATCTGACTTTGCCTACATCTTGACCCTCTCATTCTGCAGCTCCTTTATAAAACCGATGGAACTGCCCTTTAAGTTTCATCAAACGCGTTCTGCGTTCATTGGAGTAATAATATGGAATCAGAACATTCGCAGGAGTGCGGTGCGCTGTGTTCGGCAGGGTCCAGTTACTGTTACCGTAAAGTCAAGAATATGCGCGCACATTTTAAACACAGCCAGAGAACGATAAACACACACAAAACACAGCAGGTTTATAAGGACAAACGCAGAGAAAGGAGCTCGTGCAGAACAGCAACGCACGCGCACTCTTTCTGAGTTGAATAGAGTGGAGTCGGTTTTCCGTGCTCTATCGCGAGCTCGGTCACTCGGTCTATACCTCTCCTCGGTGCTCGCTCCTCTCTCACTCCGCCGCCGCCGAACATCCGGGGAATCACGATGAAAAGGCAGAGCGCGGCGGTAAAGGCCAGCACGAGCTGCTGCGCGGGGGACACCATGAGACACGAGATGAGGCAATAAGAGCAAGAGGTGGGCAACTCGAGGGGTACGAAGGAACGAGTGCGCGGATCTATCTGAGTGCTCCGCGACCCAGCAGCAGCTTGAGCTCTTCTTCTATTTGTTGTGAACAGCAGCTCCCTCTGAGCAGCATTTCCGCCACCTAGTGGAGGACCACAGAGTTGTACCACTTCCTATTTCTCCCGTTACAATAAAAACGCCAGAGGGCGCCCGCGAGCGAGGACTCGATGAATGGGGGTGAATGGTGTTAAACGGGTAAAAACGCAAAATTAAACACTTTCTAACTACTTGTCTAGGACCTTCCTTTAATTTGTATGTATTACATTAAAAAATATAAGAATATAAGAAAACCCACCAGTATCTAGTACTAGTAGTCGCATCTAGCAGTCTACAGTACAGGACTTGGGCCGTAGAATTCTAGCGTTACTGCTACTGAGTGCTGATTGGTTGACTACAATTATGGCTACCATATGCTGATTAGTTGACATTACTGCTGCTGAGTGCTGATTGGTTGGTGAGCTGATCGGCTTATTGTCTGGGTGAAGCAGTTCGCGCTCACTGACGTCATGACATACCGCTGCTACTGATACTACTACTAATGATGTTAATGATGATAATAACCGAGATAGCAAGCATACATCGTTCCTCTGGCTCAATGCCTGTATGACTGTATGACACTGCTAGTCGCCACCCAGATTATTGTCCTGCATGTAAAAACTATTTTTTAAATCTGCTCAGACAGTTTTTAATTGCACATAGCCTTTTATTAAAAAATAAACTAAGACAAGCATTATAAACTATTAATATGTAATTAAGACAAGGCATAATAGAAAAGAGTGTTGAAAATATTGGTGCTGACACTGTACTGGATTCATTACAGCTGTCTTGCTTGTATAACTGGCTCTGAAGCACCGATAGCTCACTGCTATCTAAAAGCTGATGAACCGCTGAGAAAAGCCAGAGCACCAGCTACTCTGGGTGAAGACATTCAATAGTCAATGGACAGATACTAAAACTCCTAGCCCCAAAATTGTGGAATCATCTTCTGACCTCTGTTCGGGACTCAGACACACTCTCTACATTTAAAACTAGACTCAAAACCTATCTGTTTGCACAAGCATTTTGCAAATATCAGTTGTTTGCTCTATTACTCTCTAACATCTCTCCATAAACAGACCTGTCCTGTCAATCATTTTCTCTCTCCCTCTCACTCTTTCCCTTTATTTGAGCCCCTGAGCGACGTTTTGCCTGAGTTGCCAAATGGGAGCCACCAGAGCTCCATCTCCATCTCCGTTGGCTGATCTGCACTGTTTTGACCACCATGAAGTTTCATGCTGTACAAAGCTGTGCAAACCTCACCTTCATGAACTGACCCTGCTGCTGCTGCATAAACTCAAACTGTCTAAATAACCATTGCTCCACCTGTTTTCCCCATTTTGTACTATAATACTTTATACTAACAATGTTTTACTATCCGGTGTCGTCCAGAGGAGGATTGGTTCCCCTTCTGAGTCTTGGTTCCTCTCAAGGTTTCTTCCTGTTTCTCTTAGGGAGTTTTTCCTTGCCACTGTCGCCATTGGCGACGCTCATGGGGGCTTGGACCTGGATTTTTTTGTGAGGCTGCTTTGTGACAACACCTGATGTAAAATAAACTTTGACTTGACTTGACACAGTAAGATTAGCTAGCTAGATTTTCAAAAGCGTAGTGTCTTTTAGCGTTTATGCTAAAGATTTATCTTGAAATATGAGCTCAAATACCCTCAAATTCAGTCTTTTTTAGTGATGTAACACAATACTTTTTTTAAAACAGAAGGAAGAATTTCACTGCAGAGACGCTACAGAAAAGAATCAAATGTTTTTTCTTTTCTGATGTTCTTTGCAGGTGGCCTGAATTCCGACTCCCTGGTAGAATCCAACTCCACTTTTGCGTGCACGTGTCACACAGGCTTATGGATGCTACAGATTCCACTTACTATTTCTGTTGTTTACACATAGAAACGTAGAAATCATGAGTGTAGTCTGTAGCGTCCACAGTGTTTAATTTTTTTTGAGTGCACATGTACAAACGATTAGAGTTGACTAATGTTTGATAGTCAACTCATTTATGCATCAGTTAGCATCAGTGAGCTCATGAGTACATTTCATGATATACTGCATCCCAAAATACAACACAGTCATGGAGTCAGGAGGACGTTACCACAGACATAACCATCTGGATAATTTTTAATAGCCCTAGATTCAGCATTTCCATACAGTAATAATAGTGAAATGAAAAGTTTTTTTTTCCAAATGCTGTTGCCCCATCTGTTTTCTCTGCTAGTCTTGAGATATGATTTCAGACTTCATCTCTTTAATAAAGTTAATTTACTGCATAAATAACGTGGTTAAAACAGTGTCTTATTAAAGATGTTCTCTTCTCACACCATCACCTTTTCAGGCTGTCATGTGGAGTCATACTGCTCATTATTCAGTCACACCACACAGGTTTACTACACAGACAAATCCAAAGCTAAGATTTTTAATAGTTCACTGTGGCTGTAGAGATCATCTTGCCCTCTGTCATTGTATGTGGTATTTTTCCACATCCTACATACAGTATATTGGTCAAAATACAAATTACACACTGAAAAGCGACCTGCAACGATGACTAAACAGCAGGGATGAATCATGGTTTTGCGAGGCCCCTGAGCACCAACATCTTAGGAGGCTCCCCAAACTCTGTAAATAACATTTTATCAATTAATTAAATCAATTAATACCTTAATTAATTTTTGTTTATGTGCACTATCAGCAACACATATTTTTTTTTAGCTTTTTTGTCTTGGGAATGAACAAGATTAGCCTTATTAGTTACTGAGGCCTAATCCTAATCTATTGTGTTTACATTGTAAATACATATGCTTTTAGTGTAAGAACATGAATCAAGTTTTCTTCAGAGCCCCCTGGACACTGGCTGAACTAGCCAGTCAGTAATCCTTCTCTGAGAAGCAGTGACTGGAAGGAAAATCTTGGGACAGATCTTGAGATTGGTCTGATTGGCTCAGTGCCTGATGTTGGCCATTTAGTATGGCACTTGGCTTTTGTCCTATGGAGGACTGAAGAGTAGCATGCAGTATACAGTACACAGTATGCAATTTTAAACACAGCCATCATGACAACTAATATTCAGTGTTTTAAATGAGCTAAAAAAGCTGTAATATAACACCAATAATCAATCTTTCTCATTTTAACACAATGGATCAATTTCACTTCTGGCCAGTAGGCGTTACAGTGCATCGCCTTTTCACTCCCCACAGGACTCCACCTACACTACTGCCAGGCACTTTTTAGTGTTTTCCTTGCTCTGACGCAGTGTTTCAGGTCCAGGCCTGGAATCCAGCTTCTCTAACACACTTCAGTTATATTATTAGCTAATTATCACCCCCTTCTCAAACATTTGTTTAATTGTACAAAGTATGTGTTGCTTCCGATCTTTTCAGTTTGTAGTGTAGGTACTGGAGCATAAACTTGATGATTTAAGTAAACTCAAATGTTTTAAGGAAACTGAAACAGTTTAAGTTTCTTGTGAACGTATTACTCAACTTAAGATCCTATATGAATGAAATCGTCAAAAAAGTTCAACAAAACAGTTAAGTACTGTGTAGGATACATTCATATTTAATGTGGTGTTATTTATTGAAGTTGAAACATTTCTAGTGTCTATCAGATAAATTCACTGATACAGAAGACTCCGTCTGCTCAACTGGTTTGCTATTATGTAGTTAGGTGATTTGTTAGCTAGAAACATTAGGCCTGAAATAAGCTTGGCAACACATCACATAATGTAGGTTATTATTGTAATATTTGATGTTGGGTTTGGTATGTAGGTAGTGTTGGCGTGGATGAACTAAACTCAAGTACACAAATAAGTTCTTTCTTAATACTTTTATATTGCCCGGATGCAGTAACAACAACAGCCCTCGCTCACTCTTCCCTTTTTTTTCACCAAGTCTCAGCTAATCAGTACAGAGAGTCAAACATCATCCTCTCTAACACATATCAATGTGAGGTTTTGTACTGAAGTAAATTTCAACTTATAATGTCCAAAAACAAATGACTATCAGTTTCATTCTTACACTACTTCCCCTGTTGTAAAAAGAAGTGTCCACGTTTCAAAACTTCTGTGATCCATTAACTGAATCCTGAACCCAAAGCATATAGAAGAACAATCCTTACTATAGTGATAACATCGCCATAAACAATAAACACATTTTGCAGTTTCAACAATCGCAACATTACTTTGACATTTCTTTTAACATGTCCTTTTTGTGCACTTGTGTGTGTGTGAGGGGGTGTAATAAATGTATCCCTGCATTGTCTTGACTACTACAGGTTCCTTGTTTCATTGTAATATCCTTAAGTCACAAATCAGGCATCATCCCACAAGCAGCGCACTGGAAGCACCACTATATAATGTCTCTTGACATATGTGGCCAGTAGCATTGACGTAGTGCACGCTGCAAAGTCTTCTGTGCACTGAAATGGCCAGTGAGTGAATGTCCATGCAAACTCTCAAAAACCTCACATTGTAAACTACCAGGAACTACAATCTGAAAGATCTGGTCACCTGGGGGAGACCTTGCGACACAGAACTCATCAAAGAGTCAACAAATGTTAAGGAATATTCTGAAAAGTACTGAAGCTGAGAAACAAATGTGGAATGTATACGTGTGTTCAGGTTTTATTTTGATGTTTATCGTATGTACTGTAGTGTGGGGGGGTTACAGAAGTAGCGTAGACAGCTTGGAGCTTGTGCCCATAACGCAGCTTTATTTCAACTTGGCAGCCAAGTAGTACAAGAGAACAAGAGAAGAAAATCACTCATATGTCCAAGAAATAAGCTCTTTAAATCTCTAGCACAGCCGTGTTTAGTCACAGAATCCCACCTGGGGTTATTAATTAGGAAGCAAATCTGTGGCGATAACTCACACTCCCGCTGTACCTCCCCATCCTCCTCAGCAGTTTACATAACCTGTAAATGTTAATATGCATACTGAACAAAATGTTTACTAACTAAATACAGTCCAGCTAAGCATGCACAATGCATTTTGGGAACCACAGCAGGCTCTGATGCCACAGT